GACTTGCACTACTTCCTTGGCATTGAAGTAAAAACAAATGGAGATGAGCTTCACTTGTCCCAAGAGAAGTATGCCACTGATCTTGTAGCAAGAGCAGGGTTGCAAGGTTGCAAGGCAGATCCAACACCTCTATCCAGCTCTGAGAAACTATCCTTAACAGAAGGGAAACTCTTGAATCAAGAGGACAGCACCAGGTATAGAAGTATGGTTGGTGCACTGCAATATTTAACTCTGACTAGGCCTGATATTTCTTTTGCTGTGAACAAAGTATGTCAGTTCCTTCATGCACCCACTACAGTACATTTGACAGCTGCAAAACGCATACTCAGATATGTCAAGAATACTTTCAGTGTTGGACTCACCTTCACCAAGTCACCATCAACACTTGTAAGTGCCTTTTCTGACTCTGATTGGGCAGGTTGTCTTGATGACAGACGCTCAACAGGTGGTTTTGCAGTGTTCTTTAGTCCAAATTTAATCTCATGGTGTGCTAAAAAACAAGCTACTATGTCTAGATCCAGCACAGAAGCAGAATACAAAGCACTAGCAAATGCTACTGCAGAAATTATTTGGGTTCAGTCATTAGTGAAAGAGCTTGGGATACATAGTAAACAGGCTCCATGCTTATGGTGTGACAATCTGGGTGTCACCTATCTTTCTGCTAACCCAATATTTCATGCAAGAACAAAACATATCGAAATAGATTTTCACTTTGTCAGAGAAAGAGTAGCAGAAAAAAAAGCTGGATATATTCGGTCTCAAGACCAAGTTGCAGATGGCTTCACTAAAGCTTTGCCTACCAGAGGTTTTGAAGAATTTAAGCGTAATCTCAACTTGTCCAAGTTGTGATTATGGGAGGGTGTTAAACCATATAATGTTCAGGTCCAAGGGGCGCATCACGCACCGGTTTAGTTGAGATAAGTTTCGGTCTAGGTTGGTTAGAGTATATGGTTGTAATCTCCTCATGTATATCTTATCTCTACTTTCCTTGTACCTCAAGATGTAATCTCAACAAACTTGTATGCTTATCAGGGATATGCGCCTGCCTATATTAACACGAAACCGTCGCCTCGAGAGAGGTACGACGTTCTCCGCTGTTTCACAAGTGCCAAGAGAATCAGTTGTCGAGAAGTATTCAGTCTGTTCGTCAGTTAGACTTGCACCTGTGATCATCTCATCCGTTGGAACCTAGAATCCAGGAATCGTTAGGTGGTTGATGGAAAAATGCAGGATGGAATTGTTGATTGTGCCATAGCAGTAGGTAACTTTATTTACTGGTAGAAAATTGTGCAACGGAGTTGGCTGTGCTGAAAGTGATCCCTGATCATTTAAGATATTTGCATGTGTCATAGAAGCATCGGGCTGACCATGTCCTACAGCAAGTTGATCCCCAAAACTATCAGAAACAACAACAATAATAGTAGTAGTAATAACAATAATAATCTTGCAATGAAACAGAAATTACAGTCTTGAGGATGTGTGATGCAAAACTAGGCAGGTGTTTAATATTGACCTTGATGCACCGTATGTTCTTGCTTCGAATCACCAGCGTCATTGTTTGACAGGACTTCGGCCAGTGAGAACCCAATCAATGAATGTCGATCACCAAATTCTGCAATAAATTGAATTTTGAGAAACATACAACAACGAAGTTCATTGATGGAATGCAGTATTAAAGCTCACCGTTCTGTGCAGCTATGTCATTAGGATATTGCGATGTCCTTTTAGCTTGTACGGAAGGACCTGCATCATTGTTCAGAGGCACTGCACGGACAGGGCAGCCATTCATCATCAAATAATCAGGAATAAGAACCCCTGATTTTTCCCGCTCCTCGAGTTTCTTTAATGCGGACATTTTCCTGCTCTTCACTTTAAGCTGTAACAGAATCTTTCTTTTATGTCATCACCGTCATAATGTACTAGAACATGCTTGCTTTTATTTGGACTGCAGCAAAGCATCTGATGATCATAACTTTATAAAGCTTCTACATCATCGAAAAGCAATATTTTAGTGTGATAGCAATGTATTGGTGCCAGCAAAATGCTTCTATTTTCCCTGCTATTTTTATGATGAATTTGTCTTTTTATGGGTTTTCTTTAGGTGCACCGGGGTTGTCGCTAGCTCCCCCTTATGTTGAATTCTACTGTGATTGAAGGGGTTTAACAACATGCTTTTATCATACGCTTATAGGAAATAATAAACTCCATATTAGTAGTTTACCTTTTTTGGAAGGAAAACTGTAACGGGGGCCCCGGCGGTATAAATAGGATAAAAACCAAAATTCATGTCCTCGGGTACTTGAACCCCGGTGGTGGGATTGTACTCCACTCCCCCAACCAAGTAAGCTAGGCTCACTTCTCTAACATCAATTTACCTTGTTTTTGTTCAGCAATGCAGTTATAGGTTAGCCAATAGCTGTTCATTGTGACGCTGAAGTATTCAAAGTTCCACAAGCAAATTTTGCTATACCTTGTTACCGTGACAACATTTGCAAGTTAATTGCCAGCACACTATTACTTTAGTGTATATAACAGCCTAATTATGATGGACATGGAATAGTGTCACATGCATACCTGCTGAAACTGATCAAGGTCACTGACAGGAACATAATCTCCATTGGTCAGCACACCGACAAGATCATAAAAAACATTGAATAAGAGTTCACAATTTTCCTCTGCAACTCCATAAGAATAGATCTCAACCCCAGGATCACATGTGGTGGCATGTGTACCATGGTACTCCAGTCCTCATCCTTCATGCCAGTAAGCTATTTGCCAGAAGTTAAGAGTTTTCTCAGCAAATAATGAAGTGCTTGTCATCCAGCACACTCCTCTTCGACGTGCGACTGCGCCATCTTTAAAATATGTGGTTTCTTGCAGCTCTGGCGGCCGCTTAGCCGCATCCAGGATTGGAACGCCATCAACACCCTCATCTCCGACCTTCGAGCGATGGCCTTCCGTGTGGCGCCCCCGCTTCCGCCGCCTCCTCCAGAGCCAGACTAGGCTTCCGGCTATCTCCGTTGGGCCGGTGTGCCGGCCTCTTTTTTTTTCCTTTTTTGGGCTTGTTGAGTTGTGCCCTCAGCATTAACCTTGGTACCTTGTTGTGTGTGTGAGTGCATTTGTGAACCTTCACGCCTTGTGCGTGTGTGTGGCTGTATTCGTGTTCCATGTTTGTGGATTGGGCGGTTTGCTTTACATACAAAGCGGGGCGAAAGCTTTTTTCGGTAATAATGAAGTGCTAGCAGATATTATAGTCCACATGAACATTTAGCATTATGCAGTCCAAGCAAGTCCTAGGAGGTACTGGGCGTATTAATTATATCTATTGCAGGTAATTTGAAACACTAAAGACTGTAGAAACATCATTACATTTTTAAAAGTCTATAACTATACATTTACCTTTTGGAGACCAGATTTATCTCTGTGATAATGACGCATCAAGCGCTTCACTGTAGTAATATTTTTATCAGCTAGGTCATTGCAAAGCTTCTCCTTTAGAGAAATGTTCTCCAAACGATGTACCGCTTCTTCTGTAGATGGAGGATACTTCTTTCCATTTACTGAAAGTAAACAAATGTTGGATGTCTTATGCCAATATATAGGATCGTTTCATTATGGATACCACTGTGTCTGATGATAATAGCATTCAGCAAAGGATTAATGTACATGGTAAGCTGCAAATCGATTTACCATGCATATTACTGATCTACGACCAAATATACAAACATTAGAAAATTAAGACGGTCCCATTCTTTCGGTATTCCACAGGAAATGGATAACTCAAAATAAAATATGTATTGAGCAAAGAAAATTGCAATCTCAATTTTGTTACAGAACTAGCCATTCCCTTCCAAAAGCAGAACATTAGTGCCAAGACTTCATATTTCCAGATAAATAATGCCACTGCATGTATAAGGCCATAAAACTTTATGAAAGATATGATGTGTGCTTTAATTATTTTTTTACTTGAATAATCTTGGCAGCCACTTAGAGGAGGAACATGTTTCTCAGCTGACAATGTCAAACAATAAACGTTTCATTGAATGAGCAGATTGCACCACTGTATTAAAATTTCCAATGCAGTACAATTAAAAATATTGATGCCCCGAATAGATAAAGGGTATACTCGTATACTCACATGCGCTTTGGTGGTCTTTGACGACAAAAGGATCAGTAATTGCTTCTTGAACTCTGACCGCAAGATCCTGTCTTTCAACTCTTGCTGTCAATCTTAACTTTTTCCTGTAGCTCTCCGTGAAGAAAAAGGAGCCAATACAGGCCTCACCATTTGTTAAATTAACTACAACTGTTAAGACTGACTCTTTCCCATTATACATATGTATCTGCTTGTTGAATTCCTCTTTGGTGAAGTCCGCTTGTCCTCGCTCAGTAAAGAAATCAGCATGGACTGCTAAAATCTCAATTTGCAATTTAGAAAGGTCGCCCTGTGTGATTTGCTTATCGTTTTCAAATATCACTACCTTAGCATTTTCTCCATTCAGCCATTGTACTGGACAACCAGTGTAAAGGGGGTCTTTTGGTCCTTCAACATCAACAAAGCGCAGCTTGACTCTAGTGGTGCCTCCAGATTCAGGAAAACCTGCCGATATCTGCCTAAATTTTAAAAGAAGATGAGTGAGACAGTTCCAAAAGGAAAATAAAAACATGTACGGCCAGAAAAAAAAATGCCAGATACCTAGGAGGCTCATAAATTCCATTAGGAAGCAAAGCTGCTTGTCGTTCACCAAGTTCTGCAATAGCTTAAATTTTGAGAAAAATGTAACAAACAAGATCAGTGGTGGAACATAGTATTAAAATTCACCTTGTTGTGCAGTCATGTCTGTAGGATATTGCCATGCCATTCTAGCTTGTTTGGAAGGGCCTGCATCATTGTTCAGAGGCACTTCACTGACAGGGCGGCCATTGTTCATGAAATAATTAGGGGTGAGCCCCCCTGGGTTCTCCTGCACGTCAAATTTCTTATACGCATAGGTACACTCAGTTTCTGTCTCATTCAGTCTATCAACAATATTCTTTACAGTTGGCCTTTTGTGTTGATCCTCCTGCACACAACTTAAACCTATTTCAATACATATCTTTACTTGCTTGGAATATGCCTTCATCAGACTCGATGTTTCATGTGGTCTATTTGTCCAATTTTCCTGTACCTACCGATTTAGAGTACAAAAAAATGATAATATCTTAGAATAATCAAAGTATTTTTATGAATTACATGCACATTATCTTGATAAAGGCAGCACGTTCTCTTACCAAATTAGTGAATTCGTGGGAAGACATTTCAGCGCTTTTGTAGTAGCCCGCCCGTCCTGCCATTATCTTTATGATGACGACACCCAGGCTGAATATGTCAAATTTACTTGAGATTAAATAGTTGCGTATGTATTCCGGCGGTAAGTACCCTCTGCATCACACATGTTATACAAATGTTACTGTTACTACACATCTAATCCAAAATACATTTACCTTCTCCAATTTCAGTTCATATGAAGAATGCTTACTGTGTTCCTAAAGTACTTTTTGTAGCTCGCGTTCGTTCATCTCCAAACAGCCTAGATATCCCAAAATCTGCAATTCTGGGAACCATGTTCTCATCCAGCAATATGTTGGCTGGCTTTAAATCCAAATGATAAATAGGTGGCTCTAATTTAGTGTGGAGGTATTTCAAACCCTGGCAAATCCCCTTAATTATTCCGTAGCCTGTGTGCCAATCATATTTATCACATTCATCTGCAGCACCAAATAAGGGGAATTCTCGAGAGGTAAATTCTAAGGATGATACCTTAACATGCTATGGTCTCGAAAAAAAAGAAACCTTAATATGGTAAGTAAAACAAGGAGAACAACATCTTTACCAGAAATATATTTTTCAAGGCTTCCATTAGACATATACTCCAAGCAGAGCGCCCTATGTATCTTTTCCGCAAGAACCAATTTTCCTTCGTACATTGCTGGTACTTCCTGAATATGGTGGCAATAGCCAACTAACCGCACAATATTTCGGTGCTGCAGCCTTGCAAGGTTCTTAAACTCATTATGAAATTGCTCCTCGTCAACCCCGGGCATATCATAGATCTTCTTCACAGCAATCTTTTGCCCGTCTGGATGCACACCCTGCACAACATTTCACATGGTTTAATTTACTGTTTGTAAAGTAGAAAATGCTATGCTTGAATGTGGAAACACAAATCATTTACTGCTACAGGAATGTACGTGAGTTCATCATTAACAAGACCAGTAGAGAAATATATATAGTACTCACTCTGTAAAGAAATATAAGAGCGTTTAGATCACTAAAGTTGACGGGGCTGGTGGTCGACAAGTTTACTCCCGGGGTCCATTGTTGCTGGGGGTTGCCGGACTTGGAGATGACGGAGACGATACAAACCGAGTGG